TGCTACTGGGCCATGCAAATGCTCGGCGCGTACGTCATTGGCAAGTACCTCGACCGCCCCGGCAGCAAGAAGCCCAAGGCGTTGCAGTCCATCTTTGTCATCAGCACCCTCGTTATGCTCATGTGGGGGTCGTCCTTGTGGATGCAATTGTCGTTTGACTTGGGCTTGAAGGGCAAGAAGAAGCTCATTGACTTCAAAGACGACGGCTTCATCCTCAAGTTCTTGCTCTTCATCTCGTACGGGTTTAACGACTCAATTCTGCAAGTGTGGGCGTACTGGCTCATGGGCCAGTTCTCGGACGACTTGGGCACGCTGGGCCGGTATGCTGGCTACTACAAGTGCGTGCAGTCGGGCATGGCTGCCGTGTCGTGGCGCCTGGGGGGTATTCCCATCTCCCCCATTGCCACCGTCGTGGTCAACTGGGTGCTGGCCACCATCGGGATCATTTGTGCCTACTTCTCCGTCAAGACCTACATGGAGGACAAGTCGACCGAAAACTACGAAGGCGTGGAATCCCCGTCGGACAAGAAGGCCGTGTCCTTGCATTAACCGGGTTTGGTGCAATCTGCTGGGTCTAGTTTTGTGTTTCCACTAACGTTTCGACTACTAACGTTAATGAGTATTTGTACATACCGTAATGTCTTTCTTGGTTTCGCAGCCACGACGCAATACACAAACAAATGAGCGTATGAATTATACTAGTACAGGTCACAAGTTGCAATGACACACGAACATGATGACGTAACGGGGGAACGAAATTGCGATGACATCCCAAGTACCAGTACGTTCAGTCCAGTGTACACGTTACATATCGGGGCTACACATGCTGTTCGAGCATTCCCCACGAATAACTCAACTTTACGTTCATACCCGACAACACACACACAGTACATTAACGATAGTACGGTCGGTCCTCAGCACTACTAAATGATAGGTCGTAGCCGCCGTAATTATTGCGGAGGGAACTCGGGGACTCGTGGCTTTGGTTGGTTGGTATGAACCTAAACTCGTCATCGTCGGAGAAGTTGTGGGGTCGGCCTTTAATGGCCAGGTGTTTCCCCGTGGGTTCTTGGTCGTACCGGTACTCGTCGCGAAGCACGAGTTGGTGGTCGCGGCAGTTGTCTTGCTGTTGCCGAGCCGACTTGGTCCGGGGCAGCCGTGATGGATTGTCTTGGTCAGAACGATGATGGTGGCGGTGGGATGACGAGTACTCGTGCTGGCGGTGGTACTCGTCGTAGCCGTCTTGGACATCGTAGCTGAGACTCGTTCGTGGGTCGTACTGCGACGTCACGCGGCGAGGCGGCGGCGGGGGAAGCTCGTCTACCCGTCGCGTGTCCTGTTTGTACATGTAGTGGGACACGGCCAAGTCTAGCTTGGGGTTGCTACTCCCAAGATCGTCATTTTCGTCCATGTACAGGCGTGGCATTTCCGTGATGCCGCCGCGGGGGTTGACCATGGGAATAGACGAATGACCTCTGGGCGTCGGGTCGCTCTCTTTGTACACCGACATGGTGCCTCGTTGGAGGCGATGGCACTCCCACGCTGCCTTGCGCTGCCGACGGTGACGGATGCAGCACCCCACCAGCACCCCCACCACCGCCAAACCCACGACCCCCCCTACGATCGAAATGTACAACTTTGTATTGGTCACGGGCGGGATTGGGTCTATCACTTGAACCGACGCCATCACGCTCACGTCCAGCCGCACACCTTTGCCCACATCTACCGTCACGACCAAGTACACGTTGTACGAGCCAGCCTTGCGAAGCACCAACGACGTCGGAATGAACGATGTCGGGCCAGTGATGTTGATATCGATCAACGAAGGGTGCGAAGAGAACGGACCGCACGACGCGTTGCGGCGACACA